CCAGCCCTGCTGGCTAGGGAATTCTGGGAGTTGAAGTCCACACGTCTTAAAGTTCCCAAGGCTGAGAAACACTGTTTTAGATGAATGGGACATTATGAATCAACTCCTTTTTAAAAAATCTCTTGTGGCCTGTTTCTTTTGTTACAGTTAGGAGACTGCTGATTTCTGGAGAGTTGAGCAAATACAGGCAGGCGGGCATTTGAGTGCCTGGTTTCTCACATCTGAAGGATAGTACAGTCCCTGTTTTATGCCAAGATCCCAGATAGAAACAAACGAATAGCAGGCAATGGGAGGGAACCAGGCCACACATATCAGCCTTCCCTACCCAGGCACCCTCTGGATGTGTGAGGACCACAGGTCTCTGACTCATCATTGGCTAAGAACATGCTTAGCCAGGTACCTGGCCATCCCATGTTCTACTTTTGTGCAAAAATTGGATCCTAAAGTAATCAACTATGCTTGGTTTGCTTGGCACCCAAAGCCACAAAAAGACAGACATGGGTTAATATTAACAAAGCTTTAGCCTGAAGTGCAAATGTGTCTGCTGAGTTGTTCTCAACCTGGTTAAAGTCTTACCTACGTGAACATAGCTGACGCTGATTGGCTTTGACTAGATTTTCCCAGCGTACCAGGGAAAAAGGGAGGGAGGACAAACTTCTGGAGAGTCTGAAGGGGAAATTATGCAAAATATACATTTCTTTTCCTGAGTGTGTGAAGCAAAGGAAGGGAGAGCTTTCTTCATTAAAAAAATTTTTTTAGCATGCTTAAAAATAATGGGAGAGAATGTTGTCTGTTTCTTCAGTTGTGGTTTGAGGGTCTTCTGGGGGTGCGTGCAGTTTTCAGACATCAGGAGTCCCCTCCTGCTCAGTAGGGCAAAACCAGAGAACTGACTGGACCTGGTTAGCTGGTTTCTGTAATAACCGGAGGGCACCATCAGCTGTGCAGCAAATATTCAGCTGCACTCTCACCAATTTTCAGCGCATAGTTTTTCTTGCTGGAGAAGGAAAAAAAGCAACATGGATTCATTAGGACCTGTTTAAACTCATCCAGGAAACTGAGTTCCTGCCTCTCAAATGATCTCATTGCAACATCAGATACGGCCAGTGTGTCCCCAGGAAACCAGATAAATAAAGAACTGAAATAAAAGGACCTCCAACACCGCCCTTGTGCAGAAAAGAACTCAACCCTGGCCATGAGTTTTAATCTGGCCTCACCGAAAACACAGTGAGTTTCCTTTGGTTGCACTTGCTGGCTTCAGAGTAGACTTTGGGGGTGCTTTTCCTTTAAGGGTTGCAACGCCAAGTCTGTTATTTCATGAAATGATCTCAGTCAGATGAAGATTTGGCCTGAGCACTGAATTAGCCATCTCTGGCAGTAGATGAAAAGATGTCTTTGAAATTGGGAGGCAAGGGCGGCATTTCCAGGAAGAATAAGGCTGAGTGTGGTATTGTTTAAAGGAGAATCAAAGCCATTAAAAAAAAAACTGCTCTAATTATTTCATCTGCAAAATATTTTATCTTTGCCAAAAATAAAACAAAGATCAAGCTTCCTTTGGAGATCTTTCATGTAGCTAATTTCACAATCAAAACCCCTAAGATATCCTGTCCTGGGTGTTGGCTATAAATCACCACAACTTTTGCTGTTGTGGATTGGACAAATACAAACCAAGAGTGCAGCATCCTTTTTTCAACAACATCTGCTCAGGTGGTAAGGTGCAGATATCCTGTTTCTGATTATGGAGGTTCCATTCTCAGCTGCCATGATGAATAAACCCCTCCAAACTGAATCAGTAGACCTCTTGTGTAGTAGGGAGTTCCATATAGGGAACATGCAAAATACTTCCTTGGACCTTTTGGTGAGTGACTTTGTATTCCAGATGTGCTCATAAACCTCTGTCCTTCACTCTGTTGCTGTGTGGATTCTGTACAGAAGGAGATCAGATTTGAGCACCGCTGCTGTAAGATCAGATCTGAGTGTAATCTCTGTTTATATAACCCTTATCGAGTGGTGTTTGAGGACAGAAAAGAAAAAGTTTAAAAATGAATTAAATGCATTCAGAGGTTTTGTTAGCAGTTGCCCATCCCTTCCCTTCCTATTCGCTAAATATCACTCAACTCCACTGAGTTGGAAAGGGGGATTGGAGAAGAGGAGTCCACAGATGTGGGCTTGCCCAGATGGATTTCGTGGTCAGATTTTCCTTCCTTGTATAAAATGAGGGGTTTTTTGCCACTCTTGTTGCCACTTTTTCAATTCTCTTGAAAACTTGTTCAGTGATGATCTGTTCACATACCCTCTTGTCCTGGCCTGTGATAACCCTAGAGGCTGCATTCACACAACAAGCTAAACTTGGTTAGTTTTAATCATGGCTTGTTTTTAATTGGCTTACAGTGTTCCGTGAATCCAGCCTGTTTGGCTGGCGATTCCATACTGTGTGCGAAGTTGAAAAACAGGTTCATCGAGTGTGGACCAGGTGGGGTGTGCCACATGAATACAGTCAGCATGTCCTGCTTCTCCTGGGTTTCGGGGTTGGCCTGGGACCTCACTGAGCCTGGGACCGGTCTTCAGGTCTGGGAATCAGGATATGTCCAGAAACCGACAGCTTGCTTCCAAAGCTCTGTGTTGTGGCTCTGCTCTTTGGGGTTTTGCTAGTGTGTTAGGCTGAGGGCTACTTATCCCCAAGGCCTTCACCCTCCTTATCACACTCGCTCAGCACAGAATCTCCCTTTCAACACATTACAAATTGTTTGCAGCCTGATAACGTTAGGGGAAAGCTCATGTTAGCTACAAGAAAGCACAAAGAATATGCAAGCTTGTATAAGTCTTACTGGATACCAGACAGCTTTTGCCTAATTGTTGTGTGTGTTTGCCATTAAGCTGCAACTTGCACATCTGTCCCCAAAAAAGTAGAAAACTTCCAAAACCTTTTTTGTCATCTGAATTGTTCTTCTGGGCGATCTTCACTAACCCACTTAACCTTGATACCGAGTGAACCCATTTTTCTGATTTGCGCATCAGTTACTGATTACTGTGCATCAGTTATGGCAACTCTCCTAGATATTTCTGGAGACCCACCTGCCGGCAAGAAGAAAGCATTCCTCTCTTCTGGCCATCCGAAATGGTTAGTTAGCAAGAGTATTATTAATAAGGGCAGCACCAGAACCTGGGGAACTGTCTTGATCATTCCCTCCAGAACCATGGATGGTTGAACATGAAGTGAGAATGCTTTCTTAAGGGAGATAGAGAAGATATTATTAAAGTAGATAATATATAAATGACCTCCCATTGTGTGGAAGTCGCCATTACAGTTGTGAAGAACTTTACTCCTGTATCTCTGTAGAACTTTACTCCTGTTATCTCTGCTTTAACTCTAAAGTGGTCCTCTCAAAGTGTGTTACCCTTCCTTTCAAGATCTTCATGTGGTTAGCGTGGCCAGCCTTTCTTCCCCCAGTGCTTCCAGATGTGTCAGATTGCCAAGTCCATCACCTGTAGTTAGTGTGGTGGGAGTTGGAGACCAACACATCTGGAGGACCTTTGACTGGGGACAACCAATGCAGAGGAGGCTACTGCTGATTTGCCTGATGTAGTCACAGTCACCCATTTGGTTCTCTGAGTAAATCTCAGTCAAGTTTTGGCATCTGACAGATAGTGAAATGTAACCCGGATCCAACCCTCTCCCATCCAGAAAGCATAGCCTGATTGAAGAAGAAGAAGAAGAAGACATTTCAGGACATAACCCATATGCGCAAGATGGCAGAGCTGCCAGAATGAATATCAGGGCCTGGAGATCATCTTTAAGATCAGAAAACAAGGATGATGAAGAATCTTTATCCACTGGAGGTTTAGATGGGTGGCTCAAACAGCAGTTAAAGAAAGGAGCCTCGGTGTTTGTCCTTCTACTGAGCCTGGGTGGTGCACGGGGAGCATTGTGTTCTCTGCCCGTGGAATGGCGCACAGCAGCCCTCTTGTGAGGCTGAAAAGCTTATCTGGTGTCACTGCTGCCTGATTAAAGGCTATCACGTGCATTCCAGTTGATGCCTCCCTTATGCAGCTAGCTCTGCACACTTGACTTTTGGCTAGGAGAGAAAAACAAGTCTAGAGGGGGGAAAAACAGCTGCTAGATGGTGCAGAGGTGCTGCGGCAGGCGGTCCTTTAAGAAGCATTATCTCTTCCCAGTCTCTCTCTGGCAGTGTTTCTCAAAC